GGGTGAGGAGGTCAGCAACTCAAGAGGGGTTTAGAGTAGACCTGCTGCTTTTTTGCATCAAAAGGACTCATTTGAGGTTATTCACATATCTGACTAGAAGGCCTCCTTGAGGCATATCTAACTAAAAGGAGACCCCAGGGCAGACCCAGGATATACTAGAGACAATTATGTCAGTTGGTTTGCCTGAGAATGATTCAGCATCCCCCCCTAGATGAGCTGGAGGCGAAAAGGTCGGTCTGGGCATCTTTATTTAGACCGCTGCCTCAGTTAATCAGACCTGGATAACATTACAGTGACAAAAATCAAGGTCAACTCTTTTGGCCTGTGTAAATCTTAGCGGCTCCACTGTCTTTGTTCACAGTAAATTTTGCTAAACAAGTCAGCAACTGTGCTTTTAGAGCATTAGCAAAATCACTGAATACTAAGATGTGTCCATAATACAGGCAATGTACATTAAGTGTTTGGATAGGGCTAAGAGGGATTTGTCACGCAGCTGAACCAAATGATCTATATTCATTTTTGTTCAAGCCACATGGGAGGCTCGCCAATGTTGACTCACCAACTAAAGAAAATGGTTTATTGGTAAATGACATTATGAGATTGAAGCCATTTATCCATTCTTACCCAGTCAAAGGGAAGAGATGCCACGTCACATGTTGGGAGTCTGCATGTGTGAGGTGGTGTTGCTGAACATGAACAGGCAAAATAGTCACAAACTCTTTGGTGGAAGTTGCTGAAATCTCACCGGTTGTTGGACAGATTGTGAGTGTTTGGTGTCGTCTGTTAACAGACTGAATCAGTGCTTTACTGATTTCATGTCCTTTCCCCGTCTTATCTCTAGTCCACACTTCCAATCCCACAACAGCTGTCATGGGCCTGGAAGTGAGGTTTAAATAGAGAGCGATACTGAGGATGGTGTCCGTCACCTAGCTGAATATCATTATAGTTATTAGTAATTCGATGGAGCTCTGAGGTCTGAAACTACTTGTTCAAATCCAATAACGAGATTCTTTAGAAATATCATTAAAGTAACAGTTTAAAATTTAAAGTTATACTAAAAGTGCGATTTGTGGAGGGAAAAGGAATTTGATGTTGAGCCGGGGAGAGTAAAAAGTTCACATTCATGAATAATGAAACGCAGCAACCATAATGGACCTACAGGCCATGAAGATGCTATTATATTTATTATTTATTGCTTCTGTTAGGGTAACTTCATATAATAATCATGAATTCAAACTAAACAAGTTTAGAACCTAAACTTGACTCTCTAATGATATTAATCAATTCACAAAATATTCTTAATCTCGTGTTTTGCGCTTTTACACAGTCGATTCAATCAAACACAACACAGAAGATTAAATGTTATTTAGCTGCTGCAGGCCGATCAAATCATGTTATATATATGTTGTGGAGTATAGAGTAGAGTATTTAAAAGTAGAATGGGAGGCAGAGCCTTCAGTTTTCAGGCCCCTCTTCTGTGGAA